ATACACCCCGTTAGGCTCCCTGGCTGAGGACCTCGGGGTAATCCTAACCGATGGTTAGAGACACTGAGTGATATGGCTGAGTGTCGTAAACAGTGGCGTTCGTGTATCTTCTCAATTTATCTGCAACAGTAGTCCATTGAAATTCTCCATTTACTATTCGATCACTTTAAACTGTGCTGTGTTTCTCCTACTCTTCATCAAAATGAACGGCCAAAAGATAGCAACCAAAACCGGCGCTCGAATATGCGTGGTTAATGGTTATTCATACTGAAACTGTGGTGTTGGCCATAGATGATCGAGTGTTTTTACGAACTGTTGGTTTTTGGTAGAATATGGGGCAGAGATTATGTAGATAGATTCCGATCGCTTCTGCTATGGTCAAACTGCGACATCTAATACTCTTGGATCGACGGCTGCCATCTAAGTAGAGGTGTCGCAACGCTTCGGCTACATTAACCACGTGGTTTGATTCCACTAAGTGTGAAACGATCGAACTGTTGGTAGTCTTAATTACTCCTCATATCCCGAGTAGTCCCAACGATCGGATGATCTAACAATTATGTGATCATTGAGAATTCGATGAGGAAATTATCCTCAAACAACCTTTGTTGGTAATTTTGCCCAAGAATGGTTTTTTATAGTTGCGTAATGATACATAAACATCGTGATGTGGCATGAAAACGAATCACTGAAATCAGGATTGTCCGTCACTTTTTAAAATCTGAAATGTGTTCTGCGGGAGTGTTTATAAATATACAGGAAGTTGATTATCTTTCATAGCGTGAAGAGACGAAGTCTCAAAACGGTCGAGTAAAACACCACGAACTGCAGAGATGTGTGGCCGTTCCCATGAGGGATAGCTGAATGTCACAGCGGCCCCAAAGGTTAGAGAAAACTGCCTTATATTTCCTGATTTTATTTCCTCCCCGATAACACTTCCAGCTCCGCGGTGGGATTCGAAGGGACTGCCACAACACGATTAGCAGTCTTGTTTTCGACCCCAGCATTTACGGTTTACAGTAATTTGGTCGATCTGGGTCCGCCGCTGAGAAATTGGACTTCCCGTAGCGTACCGACAGTTGAATCGTAATTCGTTGTAGTGAGCGATACGCAATGATTAGAATACAGATTTGACAATCCTTCCCTATAGTACGAGCGATGGGAATCTCCCCCAAACGTTTTTAAATGGGTTTCGCTCGACACCAGCCGACCTACTCTATCTCCTAATGAAAGCACAATATCAGCCCGTTCCGCTGTATGCAGTTAAAAATGACCCAAATGAATAAAGCAAATCGTGACTTGACTTGAATGGCTTTTAGCAAAAGATTTCTCTAACTGCACTTTGGTTACCGTTCGTAGGTGGGCGCACCAATGCAATATGCAGGTTTCACCCTTGAATGTCGCGACTGCTTGCTTTGCACTAACTGTTTAATTGTCACTGCACACAACGGAGTTTCAACTGGAACCGAACCTAGTAGAGTGGCTTCAGCTTTCTTATAGCCACGATAACGTCCGCAGGACCAGAAGCGGCAGCCTTAGGGTATCCTTCATGGATTGATTGGTTGGATATCAACTGAATAATGGAGGTGAGTATCCTAATTGCAGCACACGTCGATGGCTAGGATCTGGAGCGTACCTCGCCTTTTCTCTCAAAACAATCAGGGTACGTGCATTAAATGTGACTAGTTTAGAGGACCTCGAGTTCGAAGAGGAGTATCCACCGATGGAAGAGGAAGATTTATTAGGACTTGGAAGCTAATCGAGGTAAGTTGCAAGGTGACGGATAGGATTTCCATCAAAGCACTGCAACTGTTACGGTTCGCTGAAGTTCCCGATTAGTGAATGTTTAGTTAAAATAGAGGTTTTGGGAAGCAATAATGTCCACCCCGTAAAGTTGCTATCTGTCACTGAGTGAACCCTTAGATTAACTCGTAGTTCAAATCGTATGGAATCACTGCCTGGTGGCCGACTAAGTGCACTGGTCTACTGTTTTGTCCTTGCTGGGACTTGTCAACAATGTGTGGACGACCCTGGTCGTCCATCACGACTACTGCAGCACCCATATTTGATGGTCCTATACCTTCTCTTAGTGCTTTCTTGGACTGAACGTAGCTATAGGATTTCTTTGGTTTGATTTTGGCGCATTGGGTCAGCTGAAGCTCATTTTGCCGTTCTGCTTCTCTTATTAGCCTAACCGCCTCATTTCTACACCGAACCCACGGCTGTTGATTTCCGGAAGATCTAAAGCTCTTCCAGTACCTATTTCGTTGTTTGATGGTCCTGGCTATGGCTGCCCTCCACCACAACGGCTTGTCGCCACGTCGGCTGAGTCTCAATGGAGCAATTTCATTTTGTAGATATACGGGGGCCTCCTTAATAAACATCCAGTGCTCTTCTACACTAGCCCCTTCCGGAACATCCCTAACCAATTCCGATTTCCTGTTTCTAAGATTCCCTAGATCCATACAACCGAAATTCCTAATGAGCTTGGATGGTCCCCTA